TACTAAACGGGTGCTCTAACCAACTGAGCTACTAGAGCATCTTGCTTCTCAAACTCTAATCGTATTAATATTTCATAATACAAATAGTTCACAATCTACATATTCAGAATTTTTACACAACAATAACAAAACTATAATGATCATAACGCAGAAAAAGCTCTCTTCCATAATCATCTTTTCTTTTTCCCAAACTGTTTCAATTACATAACAAGTTTCCACAGTAATAAAACAAATGTACGATCAGTGTCTATACAGATTCAAACAAACAAAAGTAGCCGAAAGATATATCACTTTTGCTATATATCACTCTTCTTATTTAGAGTTTAGAAATGACTCTAAATATCATCATCTCCACGCCGAACCACTATGCGATATGAAGTGTCTAAAGTCCGGTAGAGTTACCTTCAACCGCCTGAGCCACTCTTCAGCTGTTCGTAGCAGCGTTCCGACTCTCTGGTTCTCGTCTACGTCACTCTCTGGGCTCCATACTGATAGTTTAAACTTGTAGGACGCGAGTCCAAAAGTAGGTAAAGGAAGCTTCAACGATGCAGCAACCGATCTGCTTGAGCTTTGACCTTCCTCATTGCTTGTACCTTTTACCAATAATAAAAGAGTTGATTTGTGATGTTTTGTAATAAGCCCATGTTTAGACTACGTTTTCTATAAGCAGAGCAGGCTTACCTCGACAGGGGGTTGACAAGGAGTGGAATGTTAAAAAGCAAGCGTCGAGGTTTTGTAACGATTGACCTAATGGTATTCGGTATATTGGGTACCTTCAAGAATGTGAGGAGAAAATAATATTTAGAGAGAGAGAGATTAGAAAAAATATACTCATGAAAATGTGGGAAAGGACATGTTAGATGCAATACCAAGCAACAGAGACCCAACTCGAAGGCGACAGATCACAGCTCCTGTATGTTCTGAGTGCTGGGAATTGCGATGACAGGTTTGAGATCTGCAATATTAAAGGTTCAAAATTATTATGTGACAGAACAGAGCATTTTCGCCGGCTCTAAAATTGAACACCATGTGAGAGGTCGAGCCAATGTTGTTACATGTATAAGCAGCCATGATAAACTTACCTTGTCGGTCAATGGTTCACGGGCGAATGGCATAGCAGCTTCAAGATACTCAAAGACAAGGTCACCAGGAGAGTTACTGCTGGCCTCACTCTCATCACTAGATGAACCAATGCAAGGTTTCTCCTGCAAAGAGGCTCTGTATAAACTTCTAGAAATGTCTCTACAGTCATTGCTGCCATCGCTACTCATGTCTCTAGGCGAATCACCATCACTTTCTTCACCAGCTCTCCTGTTTAAGAACACACATCAAAACAAAGATTTTAAATCTAAAAGGCAGAAACGAATTGGGAATTAAAGAGGAAACCAAAGAGACAAAACAAATTTAGAATTCAACACCATGATATACTTGATCTCTAGTTCCTAATTTTCTACAGCGACTCCATGTTTTACTGATCTTATAAACGCAGACCAGACTAGTTTTTGAGAGCACGAAAGTTGTTGTGTATTAGTCAACCAAATGAATATCTCTAGATATTGTAGCAGAGAACGCTTAGAAGTTGGTTTTTATATCATACTAAAGAACATACATCCAAAGATTAAGAACAACCCAAGAAAGAAGTGGCTTCATCTCAAGATATATAAATTGGCAAAAATCAACTGCTAAATATCAGCTTGCCTACTTCAGAGCAAAGAACCAGATCACTCCTGCTAATGGTTGATAGGAAACAAATAAAATATAAGTAAAATGATAAGAACTGACCTCCTACTTGTGCAGGCTCTGGATGGATCTTCATAAAGCTGAATTCCAGAGAGATAAGGAACATAATACTGAACAACCGAATCATTCCCATTTAAAAGAAGAGGAACCCCGACACCGTAGGCGCTCCACTCCTCAAACGAATCCCAGAAATCATTCAACAAGAAATAGGGACAGTACTCTGGTTCACGAGTTCTCCACCCCTTAATGCTTGTCTGAAGCAAGAACACAAAACCAATGAGTGAGCGTAACAACCTCACAATTCTTCTTAACAAAGCATAATACTTGTGATTCTACTAACTTCATAACATGTTTCTCAAATCTATAATCCTAAATGGCGATAATCCCAAGAATTGATCAAAAGTTCCCATTTTCAACGCTTGATACTAAAACTGCCCTAATCCAATTGAAATCGGAGTAATTTAATTACCAAAGGCAAGTACTGCGTAGAAACAACGGGAGTGGTGCAATCCAGAAACCGGCCCAAATTGGAAGAAGTTCCGGTGGTGGTGGTGGAGACCCGACTCGGCAAAGAACAATCGGAGGTCGAGCACTCTTCTTCAGGTTGATTCATCTCCTTCTCCTCCGCTTTAATCTTACGATCGAGTATCTCCTTGGCCCTCATCTTCTCCTCCTCCGATTCAAGTCTCTTCTTCTCACGCTCCTGTTGAAGTTTTCTCATCGGAGGAGGGTTATAAAACCGATTCTCGCCGCGGATCCTACGGGTAGTCGACATTTCTACAGGCCGGCGATGGAAAAAAGTAGTTGGGGGTGTGTGGAGATGATGGTAGCGATGTTCGTATTCTTCTTCTCTTCTTCGTCTTCTATGTAACGCAGTTTGAAATGTTAGGGTTTTAGACTTTTTTAGTGAATTAAGAGAGCAGTCAAAGATGCTTATGATTGAGAGATTTTATTGATTTTGTTTTTGATAAATTATCCAAATTATAATATTAATTGTCCACAAAACGGTAACGCGTTCAATCCTTTACCAAAAAGACATGTCGATCCAAACATAACAAAAAAAGACATGTCGTTTGGATTTTTCAATCTGTGACTAACAAATCATCAATTAAATAATAAATACGTATTAATTAGTTGATTAGATTATGACATGTATTTGTTCTTTTTATACTTCTCATTTTCTATAAGAACAAATTTGGGAAAAAACCCGAAAAAACCGCCATCTATTTTTTTTTTGGCCGTTTAATACCTGTGTTTTTAAATTTGGAATAAAAATACCTCATTTAGTTTCGATTGCCTTTTAAAACTATCGTTTTTTAAAACTTGGTAATTTCGAACCCGACACTTAACAGTCGTTACTGGGCGTAACGGAATTATTTAACGGCGTTAAATTTTAACCGGCAAAAAACCCGAAAAAACCGCCATCTATTTGTTTTGGCCGTTTAATACCTGTGTTTTTAAATTTGGAATAAAAATACCTCATTTAATTTCGATTGTCTTTTAAAACTATCGTTTTTAAAAACTTGGTAATTTCGAACCCGAAACTTAACAGTCGTCACTGGACGTAACAAAATTATTTAACCGCGTTAAATTTTAACCCCACGAGTTTATATAAATATATACTATCTGTTTGCATATAAATATATACTATCTGTTTGCATGTTAGTTTTGTAAACCTTAGAAGCTGGGTTTGACTCTTCAAGACTTCAACCTCATTTTTTTTTTTATTAATTTCTTTTTGTGTTCTTCGTCTTCTTCGCCGGTGGTGACGACGACTTCTTCTTCTCAGATCTCCGATGATGCAAACTAGTCTCTCTCTCTTTCTCTTCTTCACTCGAATCTCTTTTTTGATAATGGTTTTTTGCCGAGATCCATCCCATTTATGTATAGATCTGATCTGATTGATGTCGATTTAGTTGCTGTTCTTTTTCAATGGTAGATCTAATTGCAGAATCGATTTGTTGAAATCGCTCTATGATTCATCTTTTGTTTGCATTTCGAGTCTTAACTTTGTACTGATGGGAAGTTATTCGAAGTGGAGAACAAAGAGAAAAAAAAAACAGGTTTAAGATTCAAACCCGGATCTGGTGGTTTAAAAAAAGACACACGCTACCACTAAACCACATTGACATTCTCGTAATGTGTTGTGAGCAGTTTGTATATATTTATATAAACATGTGGGGTTAAAATTTAACGCTGTAAAATAATTCTGTTACGCCCAGTAACGACTGTTAAGTCTCGGATTCGAAATTACCAAGTTTTAAAAAACAATAGTTTTAAAAGGCAATCGAAATTAAATGAGGTATTTTTATTCCAAATTTTAAAACACAGGTATTAAACGGCAAAAAAAAAAATAGATGGCGGTTTTTCTTGGTTTTTTCCCGGTTAAAATTTAACGCCGTTAAATAATTCCGTTACGCCCAGTAACGACTGTTAAGTCTCGGGTTCGAAATTACCAAGTTTTAAAAAACGATAGTTTTAAAAGGCAATCGAAATTAAATGAGGTATTTTTATTCCAAATTTAAAAACACAGGTATTAAACGGCCAAAAAAAAAATAGATGACGGTTTTTTCGGGTTTTTTCCCGAACAAATTTGATGTTATCAACATTCTCTCAAATGTATTTGTGCTTTGGCCTTTGATGATTGAAGCATTTCTGGGACTCTCTAAAAAGAATACGCCCGAATATTTATTTAATTGAGTGGACTACAAAAACTTGAAATCTGAAAGATGCGCTGCACAACCATTTGAAGTAACCATGTTTGACTAGAGGATTAGGACATATCAGATCAACCAGTATTTTGTCCGAGACATGACTCATGGAAACAGAAAAGCTTTGAGAAAATGCATTCATTGAAACTAACCCAAAAGGAAACTACAGCTACTGAGTACTGATACTGATTTTAGTCTAAAGAGTTTTACTTTGTCCAACACAAAAGTTATAAACTTATAATACCTGATTTTTTTTCTATGATTTATAATCATCACAACCGGATTTTAACATGCATAATTTGATGTCATTTGTGTTAAAAAAAAAAACTTTATAACTCATAATAACATGTTTAACGTTGGGAAACATACAAGATGATCGAACTAGCTAGAACAACAAATCCACCTTACTTGACGGATCCGAACATACCCAAAGATCTAACCAAAATGATTGAACCAAACTTGTCATGATGATCTGGCATGAGCCTCATGCCTACAATAAATGTCAGTATACTTCAGATTTAAATATAATAGAATTTATTGTAACAGAAATATCAAAAATAACATTATATAATTCAACACACTAATATTAATCGAGGTATCCTGTAGTTTTCTACACTGTTTTAATTTTTATACATAAAATTAGACAAAGGTCTAGTAAATAAAATGAACACGGGAATGTGGTGGACTTTATAGTGATCTTGTCCTCTTTCAGACAATTTCCACCCCCATTCACTATCCCTCCACCCAATTGTGAGTTCTTTTAAGGATGTTATGTATATGAGCTCGTCCGGAAGCTCCTTCAACTTTCTGCATTCATTTATAGTCAAAGTATGAAGACATGGCATGGAGCCTTCTTCTACTATCCACTCTTCCAAATCATATTGTCCACATAAATTTAGCTCATACAGTTGAGGAAACCCGCCTTTTGAGCACACCATCCTCTTCCCAGTGAAAGCACGATATGATAGTTCAACAAATTTCAAGTGAAGCAACTTCTCTAGAATCGGCATTGGATCCTCTTCCATGCAACAATACCGAAGACATATGTGCGCAAGGTTTGGAGGGAATCGATGTTGATCAGGCAATCTAGTCATATGCATGCCCACCGTTAAAAATTTGAGATGAATCGAATCAAGAACTAATTTTCCTTCATTATGCCTACCATGCATGACCTCGTACAGTGAAAGATGCTCGAGTTCTCTCGATTCACGGAGAGATGCAGACAGAGTTTCTAAAGTACAACTATCAAGGGAATGGACAGTGAGAGTTCTGAGCTTAGTCATACCAAGAAGGTCTTTCACACTACTGTTCTCTATTGAGTAACCCCTCAAGCTCTCTAGGTTTATCAGATCACCCAATTCCAACTTTGTCTTAACATCCATTAGAAAAGGTAAGATAAGGTACCTCAATTCTCGCAGCTCTTTCAAAACATTTGGCACATGAACTGAAACTCCATCGACACCTAAGTTCAAATAGAGCAGAAGCTTCAGATTCCGTAGAGAAGAAGGTAGATGAGATACTACAACCCTGTATAAGCTCAGGAATCTCAAATGGATGAGCTCTCCAATGCTGGAAGGTAACTTCCCTCCTTGAAACTTAGCTCTAGAAAGATCCAACACCCTGAGAAACGGTAAAATTCCAAAGTCTGAAACTGATTGTATCACAGCTGGCCTTGAAAAACAAAAGAGATCTAACTTTCTTAAAATTTTCATGTCTAATCATTTCAAATGCATTACTACTGTGTACAGCGAGCCTGCGAGGAGATTGAGCATTGATGGTTGAGGTAGAGGTAGATGTAGGACCTTGGACGATTTGTAGAAAGTTCTCTTCTTCGGCTTTAGATAAACAAACTCCTCTCATGATGTCATGCATATGACATGACTCGATTCTCGAAGTCAAATAGCTTCTTTCAGCAATAACCATATTTCTTCTCACTAACTCTTCTAGGTAGCCTTCCGCATTATCTTGAATGGTTGATCGATAGATCATTATAAGTCCTTCTGCAGCCCAGTAATTAAACAGTGTCTCCACATCTATCTTGTAGTCTTCAGGGAAATGGGCGAGGTAAAGGAAGCAATGCTTTAACCCCATTGGCAAATCTTCATAGCTCAAAGACAATACTCGGTAAACCGTATTGAAATTTAAGCCAGATTCTCCTACGATGTGAGGTCCAATATTTTCATATACTCTTTTCCACTCGGAAACTGTATGTTTCGTAGCTAACAATCCTCCCAACACTTTAACAGCTAACGGTAGTCCTCCACAATGTGAGACCATTTCCTTACCCATGACTTCCAATTCGTCATCAACCCTATATTCTGCACATCATCACCAAGTGTTATCTTTTAAGTTGTGATCCTTAAAATAAAGATATTGCCCAATTACATCACTCCCCAAAAGGATTGGCCATGATTTTGATATTTTAGTCAACTAATCTAGAATATTGTTGATAGAAACAACTTAATGATTTTGATCAACAGGAAAAGATGAAAAATTTACAACCTCTGTTTTACATCTTAAAGTATACCTGCTTCACCTCTCCTAGGGAATGCTAGTCTTTGGCATAGAGTCCAACTTTGTTCTGGCGTTAGGCTTTTAGGCCTAAAAGAAAAGCATGTCGGATGTGCATGTAAACCAACACTTTCATTGCGGGAAGTAAGTAGCATCTTCCAACCTGCAAAATATGTCTCATTTAACAGTTGGGAATGAAAGGCATTTGTGACCAAATGTGTGCACATAAACAATGCATTTATTTGATAAGAGCTCACCTCTTTTCTGTGGAAACACTTCTTTTATTCGGTCCCAGTCTTCTGCTTTCCATATATCATCTAAGACAATCAAATATCTGTCAGTTTCCAACAACTGAAAGAGTTTACCTTGTCGTGTAAACTCATCCATCTGTAAAATCTCCCCATCATCTGGCCTAAGTTCTTGCAAGATTCTTTGCCAAACATACTTCTGTGTAAACTGTTGCGAAACACAAATCCATGCGAATCCATCAAAATGACGTCGTACTATGTCATGATGAAAAACTTGTCTGGCCAAAGTGGTTTTACCAATACCACCCATCCCGGATATAGAAACCACTTGAATGTTATCATTTCCCACCAATTGACCAACCAAATCTTCAACACTCTGATCCACCCCCACAAGATCGCTTTCAGAATTGTTAGGATATGTTTGTCGGACTTCCCTTTGTCTATCCTGAAGGGACAATGAACGCCCACCATCAATGATCTGTAGTATCCCAAAACTCTGCATTCCCTCGATCACATCAGAGATCCTCTTAGTTATTCTCTTGGTATCCGAAACTATTTTCCGGTGATCCACTAAGACGGAAGCAAGTCTGGTGACACGCTTCTTGATCCCTTTTTCTTTTCTACTTCTTTCTTTCAAAAGAAAGGTTTCAATTATATCCTCAGCATCATAAACAATGTCTTTTACATCTTCCAAGAAGTTCCTCACCCTTTCACTTTCATGTTTCTTAGCATCTGCATCTTTCAACAAAGATCGTAACCTTCCCAACTGACGTTTTAGTTCGGAAACTTGCTCGTGAACCCCCTGAAACTGCTCAGATTCTCGATTCACAAGATCCCAAAGCTTCTCAATTCCAAACAAGATAACTCCTTCAGCCATAACTACTCTCCTGTTCCACCATATGAACACAGACAGAAGTCAACAATCACTGATGAGGGACCATCACAAGAAGTCAAGAATCCACAATCACCAAGTGAAACATTCTTGGAAAAATTAGTTAAAACCCTATATGGATGGACACATCGTTCTAGTGTGATATTTCATCATATCCAAAAACCAAAATAAACTTTTCTTGATATATAACTACAGAAACCCATAACTATGATTCAGGTTTGTGGTTGACAAAAAAAAAAATCGAATTCGTGAAACAAGACTCGTGATCATTCAATTCAGACATACTAATCTTAAAGCAGATTGAAGTCACCAAAACAAGATACAAAAAGACAAGATCAACGTCTAACAAGTAGAAAAATCAGAAGAAATAAAGAAGATAGCATCATATACATACCTCTCGTTTGAAATATACTAGCTTGTGCTCGCAGCAATTCTTTGGAAGAAAATAGATGAGCTTTTAGTCTTCAATGACAAGGACTCGTGAGTCATTATTAAACACGGCTTCTTGACTTCTTCTTTTTTTTTTTTTTTTAATTAGAAGGAAATTTCAAAAAAGGACATTGCTCGTTTGTAACTCGAACCAGTTTCATACTAGTTACTCCTAAAACAGTTTCATACTAGTTACTCCTAGTCCTAGTTAAACTATAGAACTACGGGAGGCTGTTGAGATTTATGCCGTATTAGTAGAATTTTTGTGGGAGTTTTGTCATCTCGTTTTACAGGATTTTTATTTTCTATGCAAAAAGTGTATTAATGGATTTGTATATTATCTCTGCAGCAGTACCTTATATAATAATAAATGTATTTATGCATAAATGGACTTAAGTGACCTTGGAAGCTGCGGATTTTTGACTAGGATTAGGACATACCAGATAAACCAATATTTGGTCTGAGACATGACTAATGAAAACAGAAAAGCTTTGAGAAAAATGCATTCATTAAAACTAACCCAAAAGGAAACTACAGCTACTGAGTACTGATTTTAGTCTAAAGAGTTTTACTTTGTCCAACACAAAAGACCAAAGCTATTACAGATTTACACTACCAAAAGAAGCAGCCCAACTAACTTTTACTGTCATTTTTCTTTTCTTCCTTTTTCCTTTTACCTTTGAATCTGATCTGAGCCAGAGTTATTAGCCGCCGACGCACTAGAAGGCCGTCCGTTTTCAGTCCCTGCTTTCTCCACAACACCCCATCTTCTAAAAGGTTCCGGGGTTTCAAGAACTTTAACCGATCCATCAGAGAGTCCAACAGCTATTTGGTTCGGTTCTTGAGGATGAGCAGTAATTACCAGTGGCATGATTGGAGCACTGTTTGCAGAAAGAAACAGATTTTTTTTGTGAGACAATTAGATCGCTTCATATGGAATAAGATTGTTAAGGTTAACTAACCTGTTTGATGTGGGTTGGGGCATGTAGGCTGATGGGCCAATGCGACATCTGAGTCTCAAGTATTCAGCATCGAAGACTCCGATGCTTCCATCTGCAAATGATGCGTAAACCAGGTGACTGTTGCAGGAGTAAGATGCGCAGGTTATGGGTGATGATAGCGATTCTTGTGGCACCCACTGCATTAAAAGAGACGACAACAAAAATAAAAAAACGAGAAATAAGCTTTGTCTGACGTTATGTGATTCAAAGAGAGAAAAATGAGGGAATGTTGTCTCATTATGCCAGTTAAGATGGAATCTCAAGAGAGAAAAAAATTCGGATTTGACTGTGGATTATCCAAATGATGAGGTAAAACTGTTTGGACAGGATAGCAGAAGCATATGTGTGCCCTAAACCGGAAAAGCGAAAGATACTTTATATACTCTTCACTGGAATTAGTGAAACATTATTTTTATACCTTCTGAATGCACTCCATCTTTGAACCGTCATATATGGCTATCTGTGTATCATGAGAAACCAGTAAATGGACCTGGTCGTTGTGGAACTGGACACGAGTGTCGCCTACTGGTGACTTTCCAGCTGGTAGTTGGATAGCTGAAGATTTCTTCTTCTCCCATGAGTCAGCACTCCAAAAGAAGAGCTATAGCATAGAGAGGTCCATATAGTTACAGCCAAGTTTGATGAAAGCTCAATAGCAATACCGAGAAATTTAAACGCTTAGTATACCTGGGCATCAGCACCAGAGGAGACCAGAATATTGAGAGTGGCAGAGAATGCTAAGCCAGTGATGTGCTTTTGGTGGCCTTTCAACTTTGTTTTCACCTGTAGGTTGAAAGAAAGATTCTATTACACATTCTCCACAGTTAAAAGAAGAACTCAAAGTTCAATATGGATACCTCGTCTTTACAAAAATCAGTAATCACGATGAATTAATTACCTCATCTACCCTGACGTTGTAAATATGAATAGTTGAATCCTCCATCCCAATTGCAATGATGTTATTATCTTGAGGATGAAATGCCAGGAACGTCGAAGCAGGAGGAGGTGGCATGAAAGTAGTCATTACCTATGAACAGAGTGAAATTCCAGTAAGTCCACATATTTGACACAGATCAGTTCTTGACTTCCATTACAAGCCAAGTATACCAAAGTTATAGTGTTGTACCATCACTGGTAAAGACGTAATTGTCTGAGCACAGGGGAAAAAATAGATAAGAAGCTTACCTTAAATGTCATCATATTAAACAGTGAAACCTTTCCACCACAAGCAGACATTACATACGAGTCATTCTTAGAAAGGGCTATGCACGGCACAGTTCCCTCAGGATTCTCCGGAACATCATTTGTCATTAAGAGACCACTGTTAGGCTGCCAATGCTGTGGAGTGACACTAGCGGTAGCCTTGAAAAGAAAAATAACACTCTCAGCGACTTGGAAGGGAGAACATAGAAGTAATCAAAGCACACATACTTTTATGCATACTTATAATATATACAGATATATCAAACTGCGCGAGGTGTAGAAGTTAAGTTTGTATTACCTTCCCAGTTGGATTTTGCTCGCTGCGACTCCACTTCCATAGTCTCTGGACACCATTTGTTCCAAGAGCCAAAATGCCAACACCCGAATTTGTATAAAGAAGCCGAGCAACCTTAAACATGAAAGTGGCAAATATAATCCCCATTATTGTAATACACAAACAGGATAAGTAATGGAAGTCCCCAGCTGAATATGAATAACTTTATTAAGGAAATATTTAACAAACCTTGCTAACCGAATCCTTGCTATCTGGCATGGTCACTTGTCGGCACTGAGCAGGATCAACAATTTCCATGAGCTCTGAAGGTTTGGACTTTTCAACAGACTCCACGTTTCTTGGATTCTCCATAGTTCTTGACATTGCATCAACTCCGTTCTGTGCACATAATATCACCAAAGTTGGAGGACAACCCCGCAATTTGTATTAACAGAGAGAAACTTATGAACTATCAAAACAAGATATATTTTTCAGTCTGGCCACAGTTCTAGTATCCCAGATCAATATGTTTGCATGTGGGACTAAATGCATGGATAAAGGATTTTTGATCAAATCTGTGTATTTGAGTGATGCCATTAGTGTATCAGGATGAATTGTACAGAAACAATAAGCCGATATGTTGCAACCATACATGGCTCTACCTGTCCCCTATATTTATCTATTACTGAAAGATTATAAATGATGTAAAGCCGAAATATAGTAAAACATACAGGAATAGGGGTTGGCCTTGCAGGAGAGCCAATATCCATTTGTTCCATTTTACCAATAGATGGGCCAATGTTTGTAACCATTGCAGACGAGGATACCTAATTACCCAGAATAAAATTGTAAGTTCTATTCGACAAAAGGTATGGCAAGAAAAAATTTCAAGAAAAGCGCATAAGAATAAGTTTTAACCTTCATATCTGTCGATGCTCTGGATGCTTCGAAAGAACGAGCTTCCATGACCCTTAAGGTTCTCAGACCATCCCCATTAGCAAGGATTTTGAATCCGTTATCAGCTGTACTAACAGCAAGAAGGTTTCCTTCCTTGTTGAATCTCAATCGGGGAAGGCTCTGATATAGGCAGTACATACCACAGTAAGGAACAATCAACATATGCAACCATAAAAAGGAAAAAGAGAAAAGATTATATACTAGTCAAGAGCAATAGCTTGAATATCATACCGGGAGTCCTCCATCAGCCTCCACAGTTGTTAAGATATTAGTATTGTCCATATCCCAGAATTTTACTTGGTTATCTTCACCAACAGCCATGAATCGGTTTCGTGTTGTATCAAACTGAACCGACCCTGTAGATTTCTTTCTAAAGCCCAAATATGTCCTCTTTATGGCACCTTCACTCTCATTCCACTCAACCAGGAAAGAATCTCCCTCTTTACTTGTTCCACAAGAAAATAATCTGAAACAATGGGAAACTTTAACATTCACTATGGCCGCAACTAACATTTAGTAGCAGATGACCTGTAACTTCTTTATTAATTTGATAACTAACTAAATTCTTATAAAAAAAAACTTCCCACACGCAAGTTTGTTACTTTTTCATATAAATTAGCTGTCTTATATGAGCCATGTCAGTTTACTTTTTATAGTTTTCAAAACTAGACTACGAATAAAGGGTTTTATGAAGATGTATAATTTTTAGATTCAAGTTCAAGTTCTAGCTTGTCGAGCAAGAAGAAAGTACCTGCTACCATCAGCACTGTATAGCATAGTTGTACACCACTGTCCTGGTGCATCATAGTCAACTCTAGAACCCACATTATCATAGAGCCAAGCCTTGATCTTACCATCAAGAGCAGTTGAGAATATAAACTGCATGAACGAAAAGAAACATATTTAATACAAAAGTAAAATGTAAAAACTTTCACTCTTAATTTACACCCACAGAGAATCCACTCCAGAAGGTGAAAGTTTCTGTCCAATACAGCCAAAATGGAACAGGATTGCTATAACTAATGGAAAAAATCCTTCTAGACTTATCGACAAGAGATGGCTGTACCTGGATATTTTCTTTCTGGTGAGGGCAGATGGAGTAAACTGGAGCCTCGTGCCCTTCAAAGGTATAAAGTTTCTTCCCACTCAAATCCCAGACCTACTCACAAAGTATCTGTCAGAAAGCTAAAAAGGGAAGCCACAGAAAAGGCACGTAACAGCCTCTCTTTGCATACTTACCTTTATCAATTTATCTTCCCCACAAGTCACAATACAAAGTTGCTTATTTGGGTGGGCGAAGGCCAAGTCATGCACACAGCCAACATGTGCATCCATCTATAAGCAGAAACAAACTATTTGTTCACTTTGTGCAGATGTCATAGCAACGTTAAATTAAGATAAAAAAAAGGAATAGGCATGCCTCTAGGTGTTGACGTAGTTCAGACCCTTGGTAAGAATATATATGGATCAGATGTTTAGAAAACGCAACCCCTGTACACGAGAAAAAGGA